AGAACCACGTCATCTGCAAGAAGCAAAACATAATTAACCCAGATATTCTAATCCTTTTTACCAAATCCATGAAGATCACATTTAAAAAAATTAGCTAAAAATACCCGTCAGGATCATTTAAAGCTTTTTTTTAAATTATTCTTATAAACTTTTGGTGAATATTTCATATGAGGGATCAAATATTATGCAGGTTGGTTAATCCAGCATCCATGTCAAAATCAGCACCAAATGTCACACACATGACAAAGATTATTTCTATAAATGTTTATCCCAGAACATCACAAATATTAAAGACATTAGTCTTGCTTTTGCTTTTAGGCCTTGCATTAAGAAATACAAGCAGAATAAATTGATTTCTGTTTTTGACATACACATTGTGATGCACTGTTTATGACAGAGGATATTAGTTTGAAGATATATTCCTCGTTGATCTTAAATTAAAGTCAAATGGCTTTTTGCTGAGGTCAAAAGTTTAAAGAGAAATACCAAGGCAGTGGTATCTGGGGGAAACTAATTTGAACTCCAAAAGTACGCAAATAGCCTGTGAAATATCCCGATTGCTGCCTGAGCAGAGGCAGCATTCTTTCCAATTAAAGCAGAGCGTCTTGTGACTGCAGCTCATCATCATGAGTTAACATGGCCTGCACAATGAGGCCCTTCACAAGACTCATAGCAGAGTGAAAAGGGTAGAGCTGATATTTAAAAACTTGCCTGGGGCTTTTTAAAATTATATTTACACTCACATTTTACACTCAGAGAAAAAATATATCACCACCCCTGTTTCATTGTCACATTTTTTATATGTCAGGACATAATAACTTGGTCTTAAGGTCAGAAAAGAAAAAACTTCATCAAACAACAAAATGTTATTTAACTCAGTTTCATCAATAATTTAATAATGTCTGAGCCAAAAAGAAGTAAAAAAACAACAACAAAGTATACTACACCATTACTGCTTCCATAAGACTTTGATTATAGCAACCAACTGTTCGTCAAGCCTCTTGATTATTCATCAATAAGTATGAAAACATCTCGTAAATACCACACTATTCTCCTTGAAAAATTAAATAAATATGGTATAAGAGGACCAGCATTACACTGGGTATCTAGCTATTTAAAAGATAGGAAACAGTTTGTACAAATAAATGGTGTAAGATCTGACTTGTGCAATATCACTTGTGGAGTTCCTCAAGGCTCTGTACTTGGACCAAAGTTATTTATTTTATATGTGAATGACTTAGTGAATGTATCAGGACTCCTCAAATGTGTCCTTTTTGCAGATGACACCACATTTTTTTGTTTGGGTAAAGATGTAAAACGGATGTTGGAACTGATGAAGACAGAATTTGATAAAATACAAACTTGGTTTAAAATTAATAAATTATCATTAAATTTAGATAAAACTAAATACATGATATTTAGTAACAAAAAGAGAACTGTTGATGATCCATTTAAAATTGAGGGTGTTGAGATTTGTAGAGTTAATGAGATGAAATTTTTGGGTGTAATCATTGATGAACAGCTAACATGGAAAAATCACATAAATTCTGTAAGAACAAAAATATCTAAATCTATTGCAGTACTATACAAAGTCAGGGAATTATTAAATGATAAAGCTCTGTACATGTTGTATAACACAATCATTGTTCCACATTTAATCTATTGCATTGATGTTTGGGGGAAAGCGTGTAAAACTTTTACAAAACCTATTTTTATTTTACAGAAAAGAGCTGTAAGAATCATCACCAGAAAGCATTACTGTCACCCATCAAGCACATTATTTTATCAACTGAAGTTATTGAAGTTCCATGATTTGGTAGATTATAGTATTTTATCAGTTATGTATAGGGCTCAAAATAACACATTACCATTAAATATCCAAAGAAATTTTGTTAAAAGACAAAGTTGTTATAATCTTAAGGGGATAGAGATATTTGTCAAACCAAAATTCAGAACTAGTCTGAAGGGAAGGTCTACCTCAATCCAAGGAGTTGGATTGTGGAATGGTCTAGAGAGTGATGTAAAAAATGTCAAGTCAATGTGTACATTTAAGAAAAAGATCAAATCTAGATTGTTAAAAAAGTATATATGAAGTAGCTTAGTGTGTGTTTTGTATTAGAATTAGAAAAATTAGAAAGTTATTCATTTTGTTCTGTTACTTGAAAATTAATATGTCTGAAATAATTGTTTGAAAAAAGGGGCAGATAAAATAAGATTTTTTCTTCTTTCTGCTGCCTTTCATTTTAAATTTTTTTGTATCTTTTTATATATTGTTATGGAATTGTTTTGTACTTTTTTAAAATGAATAAACTTCATACCATACCATACCATATGTAAAGGTTTTAAGTGGGGATGCACGATATTATCGGTATGGTATCGTATCGGCCGATATTAGCAAGAAAGTTAAATAATGGACATTGGCCATTCCATCAAAATAACTCATCAATACAAAAGGTGCTCTGTCTGTCTGTCTATGTATATAGATATATAGATATAGATACAGTGTATATATATTAAAGGCAGTGTTTTTGTATGACAACCCATTGACAAGGTGTCTGCAGCGCCAGCACAATGTTATGACGTCATGCGCGCCATTGAGTTTAGATTTGTGAAAATTTACAAATTTACACTGTTTGAGTGTTGTCATTGTGTTGTTGTGTTAGAGAGAGTAAATGCCATGAATAAATATGAGATTAAACATAACCCAAGTTGAAGCGTTACATCATTTTCAACCTAATTTTTGGCATCTGCATTTGGTAGCAGGTCAAACTGACAAAGATCGTGCAGAATAATGTATTTTAATTCCACAGCAGAGAAAGTTATGTAGTCTCTGTAAGTACCATAGGTCTAGGGGAAAAAATTGATATTGGTATCAATTATCGGCCAAATATGTTTTAAAATATCGGCATATCGAATACTGGCCAAAAATCCAATATCGTGCATCCCTAGTTTTAAGATGAGAGACGTCATTGATATTTTCAGAGGAACGACTGTTGATCGGGATTACACGGCCATTTTCAAAGCATCCTGGACTGTTTTCATTTTCCATAAATACACATTTCAGGAAGTTCAAATAATAGCTAAGAATGTAATCCTCAAAGAAACTGAGGGAAAATGAAACTAGGAGCTCCATTTTAGAGTCTACAGAAGTCTTGTCATATTAAACCCTTTCACGATAAAGTTTATTATGCTACACCTAGAAATAGACTAAATAAAAATCACTTGGTTGAAAGGATTCCCTAAAGAAAGCACAAAGTACATTTTGTGTTCTAAAACACCCCGACAGAAGAGCATACATAGGTTTGCAAAAAAAATTACACAGTTTGTGGAGCAATGATCCAATTGGACAGATGAGACCAAAACAAAGATGATGGATGGATGGTCTCCATCTTATTTTTAACCCACTGGTGACTTCCTGGAGTGATACACTAGCTTGATGTTGATGACTAATGTTTTTTTTTTTATCTATATCTTATGCATTCTTGTCACATCCATTCTTTCATTTCTAGTGTTTCCAGGTTCTGGATGTTCTGAAGTGAACCATTTTTAATGAGGCACTGCAGCCTTATGTTGTCTGCTGAAAGAAACTCAGATGTAGAGCCAAAAAGCCTCCAAACTCAACAAAATAAAGTTATAGCAACTCTGCAAAGTTCAGTACACAGGATTAGAGTTTTGAACTTTCCAAAATACAAAAAATGCCTGAAATTCTTAGTTAATCCACGTTGTATTAGAACCATGACACTGTTATGAGTTCATTACAAATATTTGAGCCTAAAACCTCTGCAGCATCATTAGATCAAGTATAATCACTGTATATATGTTTGTCTTAAATCATCCTGACTTTTTCTTTCAAGCCGTTGCAACTTTTAGTCTGATTTAAAAGAAAATCCTGCCGATTTGATTTGATGCTTGCCCACTCAAAATGAATTTGTAATGATCTACCCACATAGAGCTCCATGAGGTTGACTCTGAGCTGGAGGAGGCTAAAGAAACATTGCAAACCTACAGTTTGGGAAGAAGGTGATACAGATAGACTGTCCGTAGCAGATGAAAAAGATGGGCTTTGGGCTGCCAACATGTTAATAGAAAGTAAACTTGAAGAAGTGGGGTGCTATATATTTATGTGGTCCTGTGAGCTTGGGAGAAAGTACAGCAATTTGTCAAGAAACTCATTAGGGAGGAGATGAGAGAGTGGATGGAGAATGACTGGTTCCTACAGCAAAATCCTTTTTTCTTTTTTTTTTAATCAATTTCTGTAAAAGTTTTGGCTTGCTCCCTCATCCCACAGTCCCTTAAGTCTCATTATTAGTTTAGTTTGACTGACTCACTGCAGCAAACTCTACGGAGCACAGCAGTTCTGGGCACCAGTGAGCTGAACAGCACAGCTGAACAGTATGAAGCCAACTGGGTCCAATATACAGAGTTTTTATTTAACGTCTTTTCACCCCAAAATATCATGATATGAAGGTGAGAAAGGTTGGGAATAAAAAAAAATTAAAAGTTATACAAGGAATTTAATATTAGACTTAAATTTCAGAGAGATCAAATCAGATTTGTTTTTATTCTCCTCATAAAGCCATGGTTGTATTTGGGATTTTTGTCTCCTTCATATGGAGCATTAAGGCTGTGGTAAGCTTCATAACACCATCACTCTCTTGAGCCTAGCAGGACCATCATCATTTAAACTGACATTGTGACCTTTTCAACAAACGTTGTTGTTGCATACTTCAATTCCCAGATCCCAGTTCATGACAGGCATATTTCATAACCAAATTCAATAATGCAGAATAGACTGGTTGCAATAAGCTAATTTGCTCAAGGCAGCAAAATGAACCTCAGTTTAGCCTGTTGCAGTATATACAGTATATACAGTATATACAGTATAGTGTATACAGTATATACAGTACAGTGTATAAAGTATATACTACCCGTTTATTTAATGTCCAAACAAATTTGACCATCTTGTATCTTTTATTGTCTTTCTCATGTGCTTTTTCTAGATGTTGGAGCCTAAGGTGGATGCCTCTTCTTGTGAGCTGGGTGGAGTGGAAAGAGGCCGAGAGAGCATAGGCCTCCACATGCCCACGAACAGCACGGAGGGTGAGGACAGTAGTCTCTATCCCTCCAGCCCGTCAGAACCTCCAACTCTAAGTCCTCACCCCTCAGAGCCACTCACCCCCTTGGATGAAGTCTATACCCCCCTTGGAGGGTTTCTGGGCTCCACGGAGCGGCATAAGGTGCCCCCCACACCCCCTCCTTCCACAGAAGGAGAGGATTCAAAGAGTATAGAAGGGCAGGAGATGGACATCTGGAAGGAGAGCAAGGATGAAGAAGACAAGAAAGAGGATGAAGACGAGGGGAGCAGCAAAAGGAGCACAAGGAGTGAGGAGGGGGATGAAGATCGGAATGAAGAAGAGGTCAACTTAAACCTGGTAGTGTCGAACACAGATGAGGACAATGTCTCCGAGCCCCCTGACACTAATGCTCCCCCTTCCTCCTCCTCCTCCTCATTCGTCATTCCTGAGCTGCGTCTCGATCGCTCCTTTAGCGCCGATGCCCTCTCCTCGCCCAACACTGATGAGGAGGAGTATGATGAGGATGAAGAGGAGGAATCTCAGGAGGAGGAGGAGGATGACGACAGCGACGATGCATACTTGCAGCGAAGTGACAGCAAACGCCGTAGCATGGTGGAGGGCGCCACATGTGAGAAACATGGAGGAGGGAGGCTCAGTGTGCAGAACTCTCTCCGCCGGCGTACGCACAGTGAAGGCAGCCTGCTGCAGGACCCCCGTATGCCCTGCTTCACCTCTGACAATGCCATCAACTGCCTGGAGTCTGGTGGGGTGCACCAAAAGGGGGGCTGGACGCTTCCATCACCCAAAACTCTGAAGAAAGAGCTGATGAAGAATGGAGGCTCCATGCATCAACTGTGCATGCTCTTCTCTGGGAGGAAGGTAAGCAACCTACAATTTTCACATTTAACTGACCCAGACAACAAAACAAGAAGCAAATATCACATAGTGATGCTATTTGGTCTGTAATAGTTCCCAAAACATTCATTATTTTAATATTTATTTTCCTATTTGAACATCTTTGTAACTATTGCATGAGGATTGCTCAAGCTCTCTTTACCCGCTTGTTGCATCCATCTTCTGGTTTGTGTAAAAAGGATGACATCAAGTGGTAACAAAGAGAAAGTACACAAGATTCTTCTATAGAACCCAAAAAATGTAAAGGTAAGTATCTATAGGGCACACATTTTGCAGTAATAGTAGGTTTTTATTACAAAATGACTGCGTACCAGAATGATATTGTTATTGTTCTCATAAAGTTAATGACTAAATTTTCTTGCAACTGTTTTTGACCATCAGGAGGTATGTAAATTATCATCTTAGTGGATGTTACTCGAAATGTTTCCGTAAAAAATTCATTTTACAAACGACACTTCGCCGTATTTGTTTTTATTTGAATGCTGCAGCTGAAATGAAACATATGTTCATGTAATATTAGAAGAATGTTATATGATGGATTCACATATGACCAACTTTTACTGCAAATATACATTTTTAAGTTCTAAATGTGACACAGTTAAGACATTACTTTTAAAACTTTGCATGATGTACATGGAAACATTGTTTAAAGTGTTAATAAAACAAATTATGTTCATTTTGAATGTAGCACAACTTAGATAATGTTTTATACAAACAGAAAGAGACATGAAATTACAAGAATAATGCATTTTTATAGTAGCTAGTGTTCATATTAATATGTGCAGTGACAGCAGAATCAAAATGGTTATAAAATTAGTGTCAGATGTTCGAACAATGTTTTACCCATTGTGTATATTGTGCATGCAGTACCAGTTTACTGTAAGAAATGTAAAAATGTGACCAAATAACAAAGAAGATACAAGAAGTTTAATCTAAAGTGAATGTAGTCTTCAAGGTGTGCCTTTTGACGTCCATTTTTAAAGGTTTGTGCTGCATTTTAGTGTCAGTAGGAGTTGTGAATGTCCAGCAGAGGGAAGCATGCATCATAATCAGCTCTGCTTCTCTTTGGCAAACATTGAGAAAATAAATGTTAAAAACCCTTTACACTGTGCTCATTTTAATGCAAAACTTCTTGCCACACATTTACAGGAAAGCAAACAAACGATCAACTCCGACAAGATCTCCTGTACCTGCACCCCTGCAGACAAACACACTTGATAAAAGTGGGGATGTGTGGAGAATTAAAGAAAAAGACAGTTGTTTTAGAAGCCTGCTGGGTTCTGGCAGACTTAATGACAGCCGAGAGACAGAAGTAATCAAGTGCACACTTTATCATCACTGAAAATCAGAAGTGCAACTCCTTTTTATCTGCCTCTCCTTCCACAAGTCTGTCAGCACACTCGACAGCCTTAAATGGCAGTGTGTGTGCACAGTGCAGCGCAGGAATGCAGCAGACGGAGCTGGAGCCTGTTTGTCTTGGCAGATTCTAGGGTAATTTTACTACCTATTGGCGTCATGGACACATTTCCTTTGAGGCGTTTGTTTCCATTATTTAGAATAATCTGCAACACCCCCCCTCCCCCCACCATCTCCCAAATTTGTAACTCTTGCAACAATTCAAAACAATGAGAAGTCTGTTTGTGTGTTATCCCTGAACAACAGAACTTTTATGAGACCACCATTGCATTGATTTATGCTCCAACGTGCACACACTATAAATGTATTTAATTATACCATCAAAGCTTTGAAACCCGTTGGTTTTGTTTGCAACGGAGCAAAATCCAATTATAATTAGTTGCTTTATTTTTACATCAGAACTTGTCTCGTTGAAGGGAAACAGTTTAAAAAAAAGGTTTAACAACTTTGCTTTTAAGAATGTAGAGTTTATCACTAAATGACAAACAGCTGCATTCCTAATGCAGAGTCCTTAGATTTTTTTTTTAATGTGTGAACAAACATTTAACAATCTGAGAAACATTTTATCCCTTCATAACTATAACAGCTTGACACAAAACCACAAATATTCTGCTAATGATACACAAATGATTATACACAGCATAATAAATTGTAAATGTCCTCAGCTCAGTTTTAGAAGCACATTTCAGTCACTTCCATCTGTTTTTACCTTTTGACAAACTTCTATAAATGTTAAACTTTTCTGTTCATATTGTGCCACAATGGTCAATAATAAGATACAAACTATTTTAAAGTTACTTTTTTTTTTTTTTTAAGCTTTTGCATAAAAACCCAGTAACAGCAGAATCCACAGCTTTTCAATGAATTCTCCAACGTGCCCATTGCTTGTGTTTTGCACCACTTTGCTAGCTGAAGCTCTTCGTTTCACCTCTTTCTCCTTCTGCCAGTCACTGTTTACTTGATCTTTATTCTGCTCTATCTCTGCTCCTGACATTTTTTTCCACTCCCAACATTTTCCTTTCGCTTTCTGTTTTTTTACTTGGTGGTTCATCTTTGCTATAAGGAAATCCAGAGAGAGAGCAGTCATAAAAAAATTCCTGTTAACTAAGAAACTCATCTTTGCTAATCATCAAAGCGATCACTGCCCCAGATTAATAGAAAATTGTCTTAAAATGTTTAATTTAAAACATGCATATATTGAGTAGTGTTAGTTAAAATCTGCTGACAGCAAAAAAAAAAACTAAAAACTTATTAGGAAATAAAAACTGGTCTATATGAGTTCAACACTATTACTTTGGAATATATATATATATATATATATATATACATGCATATATATATATATATATATATATACACACATGCATATATATACATATACATGCATATATATACATGCATATACATGCATATACATGCATATATATACATATACATGTATATATATATATATACATATACATGTATATACATGCATATATACATATACATGTATATACATGCATATGTATACATGTATATACATGCATATGTATACATGTAAATACATGCATATATACACATGTAAATACATGCATATACATACACATGTATATAAATGTATACACATGCATATATATATATATATATATATATATATATA